AGGTACTAAATTTGGCTGCTCATAAGTGTTTGGCACAAGAGCCTCCCAAAGACATAGAGAACAAGTCAGGAGTCAGCTTCATATCTGGGTGTGGTGGGCAGAGGCAGGTAGGTTTCCCTGGTTTTCTGATGTACATAGTGAGTTCTCAGTCAGCCTCAGGTCATCATGAGACCCTGTCTCAGAGATGACAGAGTCTGCTACTTATATATTATATCAGAAAAGAGTAGTAACGAAAAAGTGCTAAGTCAGAATGGCTTAGTCCAGAGTAGTTAGCTTGAAAGGGAATTGGCCAGGAAAATAAGGATTAACAGGGCTAGTTATACAAATTCATGAGCTTTTTCATCCTTGATGCTGAAGATGCATCTTTTCATGGGAGAATTTCATCTCTTGCTTTTATTTACTTATTTTTTAAGCTTCTGTGGATGGGTGCTTTGCTTGTTTGTGTATCTCTTGGAACTGGCGTTAACATAGTTGATTTTTCTCATGGGCTGCTGTTGATAAAATTCCTTCTGTTGAGATAGAAACAATGCCTACCCCCTCTCACCGTCCACAGACAGCCCAGAGTAAGGTTCCATAGAGTTCCCTCGGGGAGCCATTGAGCTTAGTAGGCTTACTCACAGAGCAGTGGGGGAGCCACAGCAGAAAGCCTGCGCCCAACATGGATGTGACTCCCTGTGGCCGCATAAATGGGGACCCTCCCATACTCCCCAAGACCTATGTTATGTGCAGTTAGGGCAGAATCGTGAGTGACTGATAGGAACTGGTAGCTGCATACTCACTTGAAGGTCACATGACCCTCCCCAACCCCCTCTTCTTCCAAGAGGGAAGGTGGACAGTCAAGCCCAGCTAGACTTGTGAAGATGTCGGCAGACTGGTGTAGAGAATAGTTCTGTACTGGATAGCAGCTACTGGAGAAAAACTGGTTTATAAAAAATAATAAAAGAAGGGGTGGGAGGCTGGGCTCAGGATAGGCGAGCTTGCTGGAGTCAAGTTCCCAACCCTGACACAGGGCATCTCTGTTACTTTTCACTCTAGCTCCAGGGAATCTGCTGCCCTCTTCTGGCCTCCTGTGGATCTGCACTCACATGCCCCACACATGAAAATAAACTTTTTTATTTTTGAGGCAAGGTTTCACTATGTAATCAGGGCCTACCTGGCCCTTAACTAGGTATTAGAGACCTGCCTACTTCTGTATTCAGAGTTCTGGGATTAAAGGTGTACACCACCATGCATAAAAATGTATGCGTTTCTGTTAATGTTGACATTGTCCTGTTTCTGTGTAGTTGATAATTTGTTGCATCCACACTAGACAGAATTATGCCTTCAAAGAGTTTGGAAGAAAAAAGTGATTTTTTAAAAAAAATCCCTTTAGCACTTCTCTTCCTATGGTTGAATTTCACAGCATGTCTTGCACGTATTGATTATATCATTATCCCTTTTATAGCCTTTCAGACATCAAGTTGTCCAATCCATGAAGTATATTTTATTAAAGACTGAAAATAGCAGAAACAAGGTCAGAATAGTTTAGCTTCCAAACCACTGAGTTGGTTGACAGCTACAACAAAAATGTAAATCTATCCTTAGTGAAACGTGGGCAGTTGATGGCAGTGGAGCACACAGCTAAATCTGAGATAATAGTGCCAAAGGAACCTTAAAATGTGTCTTACCAGATTTTGTATTGTACACTTTCAGGTATGGTTGGCCTGTGTTGCCCAGGCTGCCCTAGAACTCATGATCCTCCTGGCTGTTTCCTAGGAGCTGGGATTACAGGTGCAGCCACCATGCCCAGCTTCTTCCCTGCTGGGTTTAGGGGGCTGCTCTGTGCAAGTATGTGGTCCTTTGTATCGTTATACTAAGCCACTGTTTTTAATTTTTTTGTTAAACTTACGTATGTGTGCATATTCATGCATGCACACATGCTACAGAACATGTGTGGTGGCCAGAGGACAGCTTGCAGGCATTGGTTCTCTTTCACTATGTAGGTCAGAGGGACCAAACTCAGGTCGTCATGCTTGACAGCAAGCTGAGCCATCCCACTGCAGACTTAGGTTTTAATGCCTTTTGGTTTGAAACAGGGGCTCTACAATATATAGCCCAAAGTGGCCTCAAACTCTGCCTCCCAAGTGGGATTACAGGCATGCGCTACCACGCCAGGCTACTAATGGGCTTCTGTATTGCTTAGAGCCTTGATAACCATTTAAGATACCTGTGCTAGCCTTAACACACCTGCAAGCACTCCTGCCTGTGTGCAGGGTAAGATCCTAGCTGGATCAGATACAAGCTTTGCAGATTTTTAACCTTTAAAAAAAAAACTTGCCAGGAGGTGGTGGCGCACGCCTTTAATCCCAGCACTCGGGAGGCAGAGGCAGGCGGATCTCTGTGAGTTCGAGGCCAGCCTGGTCTACAGAGCTAGTTCCAGGACAGGCTCCAAAGCCACAGAGAAACCCTGTCTCGAAAAAACCAAAAAAAAAAAAAAAAAACTTATAAAACATATATGCCTTTTTGTTTATAATTATTTTTCCTTCATTTGTAGATTTTTTTTCTAGCAGAGAAATGTAGAGGTTATACAGTATTCCTGTTTCATGCCCTCCACCGTTATGTACTTCCTATCGGAGAAATTGTGTGACTTTTCTGTGTTGTGCACTTGTGTTTGATGTGTTGGTACGAGTGTCTCCCTGAATACGTGTCACCGCCCACTTGAGGAGCTGCTCTGTGAAGGCTGTAGGTGTGCTTCACTGTTCCCCACAGCCCCACAGATGGCGTGGATGTGCCTTACTGCTCTGTGCCTGCCGCCATGGGCGGACAAGGATGTGACCTCATCCCATGTTTCCACTGTGCAAGCACAAGCCCGACCTTTGTGGGACCCGTTATTTAAATCCGAATTGAATGAGTGTGAAATAGTCACTCTCTGCTGAAGTAGACGTACATAAGTTAGTGAGCAAGACTGTTACCAAGTCCTTCTGAGTGGAGGTTTTATTTTGTTTGTTTTGGGACAGAGACACGCAGTGTAGTCCAGGCTGCTCTTGACAATCCTCCCTCAGTCTCCCAAGTGCTGGGGTCATAGGCATTAAGTCAGCCCAGTTTTGTCATCCCTCAGTAGTTCCCTATCCATGATAGCACACTGCTGGGTCAGAGTCATGTGATGACTATACTTTCCCTTTACCTGTCTAACACGTCTGTCCGTGACTTCAGGTAAGATTACCGCATCCACAGTCTAAATGGACTGTATCATGAGATACGCTGTCCACTGGGGAGGAGGCGGCTAAAGTATTCTCTTTAATATTCAGTGTTTCATAATGAAGAAGTCTGTTACATTTCGCTTGGCAGGACACATGCTGAGAAAAGCAGTTAGGGGATTTTGGCTTGTACAGTCCAGCATCACTGGGCTGTGTCGTCTAATGGAGCCACTGCTGTGTGTGGCCTGTTGACCACAGTGTGGATATATAGTATATAACAACTTGATGTCCAACTCTCTTAAAATCACATGGCAGGCAGGTGGGCAGTGGTGGCGCACGCCTTTAATCCAGGCACACAGGAGGCAGAGGCACGCAGATCTCTGTGAGTTCCAGAACAGCCTGCTCTACAAAGTGAGTTCTAGAACACACAGGGCACACAGAGAAACCCTGTCTCAAAAAAAAAAAAAAAAAAGACAAACAAAACATGGCAGGCAGAAGCATAAACGTAGCCTTTATCATGGCTCAGGCAACTTCAGCTGAGACCTTTTCTGGGCCCATCATGTCACTTCCAGGACAGAATGAGAGAGCTGCTGAGGTAAATGGCAGCTTTGGCTACAGAATGTCTCTACTGATCGAAAAACTGCACTGAGCCGGGCGGTGGTGGCGCACGCCTGTAATCCCAGCACTTGGGAGGCAGAGACAGGTGGATCTCTGTGAGTTCAAGGCCAGCCTGGTCTACCAAGGGAGTTCCAGGATAGGCTCCAAAGCTACAGAGAAACCCTGTCTCGAAAAACCAAAAAAAAAGGGCTGGAGAGATGGCTCAGAGGGTAAGAGCACTGGCTGCTCTTCCAGAGGTCCTGAGTTCAATTCCCAGCAACCACATGGTGGCTCACAACCATCTGTAATGAGATCTGGTGCCCTCTTCTAGCTTGCAGGCATACACACAGACAGAATGTTGTATATATAATAAATAAATCTTTTAAAAAAAAAAAAAAAAAGAAAGAAAGAAAAACTGCACTGAAAGGAACTAGCGATTAGTATAAAAATAGCGCTAAAATCCCACCATAACGTTACTGACGAGAACGAGACAATCATTTCAAAATTTGGAATGGTAGATAAAAATTTCTGAAAATGGCAGATAAGGGTTTTTTAACAGTTGGTCCTAAGTATTGTTTATTATATTGATATTTATCTGACCCAAGACCCATATATTTATCCTAAATAAATACTAGTATTATTATGTTAGTAAAGGGTATTTTAATATTTTTATTCTATTATTTATGGGTTTTTTTTTTATTTGGTTGTTTTTTGAGACAGGATCTCACTTCATAGACCAGCCTGCCTCTGCCTTCTGAGTGCTGGGATGAGGTGTGCACCACCATGCCCAGTTTCATTTATGTAGGGACAAGTATAAACCACAGGGAAGTGTGGCGATCAGAGGACAGCTCCTGGGAGTTGGGTCTCTCCTAACTCAAGTCGTGTTTACCCACTGAACCATGCCACCAGCTCTAGTTTTGGGTTTTGAGACATTTTTTTTTTTGTTTGTTTGTTTTTGGAGACAGGGTTTCTCTGTGGTTTTGGAGCCTGTCCTGGAACTAGCTCTTGTAGACCAGGTTGGTCTCGAACTCACAGAGATCCGCCTGCCTCTGCCTCCCGAGTGCTGGGATTAAAGGCGTGCGCCACCACCGCCCGGCTTGAGACAATTTTATTGCTAGGTTGCATCCAGGCTTTCCTAATACTTGCAAGCTGGAAGCCTCTTGAGTGTTGGGTTTACAGAGATGTACCACCACACCCAACAGAAAAATTACTTCATCAGTCGGTAATTGTGTGTGAGTGTGTGTGTGTACATGTATGTATGTATGTGCTCACCAGAAGTCAGCCTTGGGTTTTGTCCACCTTTCTTTTGAGGCGGGTCTCTTGCTGGAGTCTGGGGCTCTCCTGTTAGGAGGAGCTGGCTAGCCTGGAAACCCTCTGCATCTCCAGCGGTCAGGTGTGCTCCATCGCACCTGGCTTTTCCTGTGGCTGCTGAGGATCAGACTCAGCCTCATGCTAGCAAGGGAACACTGCACCGACTGAGCTATCTCCCCAGCTCCACAAATAACTGAATTTTTCCCAAGAATACTTGTCATTGATACTGTCAAAATATCAAAAAGCACTTTATAAATAAAATGTCAACATAGTACATATAGAGTACAGTACTAATACATTTCTTATAGAACACGTGTTAAAGGTTTGAGTACTTGAGCTGCATCCTAAAACTAAAAGGGAGGGATGTAGTTAAACACATACATTGTTAATACATGTATTAAGATATCATAACGAACTTACTGCTTTGTAAATTACTATGCTAACATTTTTAAAATATTTAGAAAGCATACTTCTTAATATTATCAAAATTATGTAATTCTTTTTGTGGTTTTTGGCAGTATCTGTATCTCGCTATATCTTGTCGGCCCTCAAATCATAGTATTTTTGCCTCAGGCTCCCAAGTGCTGGGATTTATTTATAAATTAGGATCCTCCATACTCTGGATTCTCTTTCAAAGTCTTTGCAATGCTGAACATCAAACCTGAGGCCTTTATGGTTTTTCTAGGCAGGGTTTCTCTGTGGAGCCCTGGCTGTCCTGGAACTTGCTCTATAGACCAGGCTGGCCTCAGAGTTAGATTGCCTGCTTCTGCTTCCTGAGTGCTGGGATTGAAGGTGTGTGCCACCATGTGCTAAACCCAAGGCCTTATGCACACTGACCAAGTGTCCTACCTCTGAGATACATTTCCAGCCCAGACTTGATTTTTAACAGCTCTAATTCTGATTCCAGCTGGTTTATTCTTTAAATATATTTGATGGCAAAGAATGGGATCTTTTAAGAGTCCTTGAGCAGTCTGAATCTCTCTGGGGGTGGTGGACTGAACAAATACAGCCCACAGGATCAGAAACATGGACATTTGAGTGTGCTGGGTCACACAAAACACAGTGTCCTGAAACTTCCTGCCAGGGGGCTGTGAATGGGGATTTCTGGTTCGTGGGAATTTTGTCCTTATTCTTCTTGGCGGCAGTGTCTTTGTCTTCCAGCGCCCGAGCAAGCATGTAACTGACCTTTCTTTGATGAGCCAGTGCTTCTTCTTTGTCATTCAGCTGTAAGCAGATTAGGGATGTACCAGTTAGTGTATCAGGAAAAGGAGCGTTGCATTTTATCAGAAGACTGCATTCTAAATTTAGATTGGTCATATTTTAGGATAATCTTGAATCAAATGCTGTGGGATTTAAGTGAATTTTTTAAAATTTATTTGTTATGCATGTTTATATCTGTGCCATGATGTATGTGTGGGTGTTGGAGAAGAATTTGAGGAGTCGTTATGTGTGTCCTGGAATCAAATTCAGGGCCTGGTAGCAGGCTCCAATCTTGATGGGTGAAATCATGCTTTTTATTTTAAACTTTCATTTATGCATATGTTTGTATATGTGCCATGTGTGTGCAGGTGCCTAAGAAGGCCAGAAGAGGGCGTCAGGTCCTCCAAAACTGGATTTACAGGTTGTTGTGAGCCACTACTTGAGTGCTGGGAACGAAAGTAAATGCTCCTGAGGAGCCAAACTGAGCCATCTCTCCAGCCCCAGGGGCTGGAAGGGCAGCAGTGAGGGGCTCATTAAGTAGGGTACTCAATGCACGCTTGCTTAATTGAGTCCAGTCCTTGGAACTCACATAAAAGTGAAGAAGAGAGCCAGTCTGCACGTGCCATGGCATGCCGTGCTCACACATACATCATACACACAACAACGATAATAAAACTTTCTTTAAAAAAACCCAAGGAATTAGTGTTACTTCTCTGTAACCTGTAAGTTACCTAGAGATGGGGAAGATTGTATATCTGTGTGTAATCTCAATATGTACTGACTTGTGAAAAATATTTAAAGCTGTATCTGAATTGTTTTTTATGTATTCATATACAAATAAATGTCAGCAGAGTTAACGTGTGTCTGCTCTGAGCACTTGTGTCGGTGTCTTTGGTATCTTTGTTTCACAGCCGTCTGTAGAAGGTGCCAGAACTGACGTCAGGTCGTGTTGGTGACAAAGGGTCTGGAACTCTTAATTGCTCATAACTCCAGGCCGCACAGAAATGCAGGGAGCTGAGCTGGCACACACACCCCATCAGCTGTCACAGAAGGGATCCTCACAGGAGTGGGGAGAGCTGGCAGGGAGAGGTTGGGGCATGGTGCCCGGTGGAGAAAAGGGTTTAAGAGGCCTAGAATGGGAGCCCATGGATTATCTGACCCGCAGTCCCTAACCAAAACCAAGTGACAGTCTGGCACTAACCAAGTCTACTAGCATCTTAAGGACTTCTTGTGGGCTGTCTTGGTCTTCAGTCCTCTTAGAACTGTTTTCTGAAGGGAGCATCCCCAGCAGTCGCTGCCCTAAGGTCTTCTTTCTCCTTTGGGACGCATATCCTGGAATGGAGTGGGAGAATCCAGCTGAGAAAATTACTCTCACTGATGTTAACTGCAGTAAAAGCCAAGGCTGATTAATTCCTGCAGCAATCCAGAAGTCATTCTCACAAATCCACAAGGACCAGTGTTGCTGGTTGCACAGCATGATGGGGGAATGTGGATTTCAGGTATGGGTGGGTGGAGACCTGGAGAGGGTCATCACAGTCTTCTGGAGCAGCAGAAATCCAGATCTGTGTGAGATCACTAACCACGCTACGTGGAAATACTGCAGAGGCCCGACAGGCGCAGGCTGCTGCAGCCCCATCCATGTGAGCAGCCAGAAGGGCCTACACGGGATCCTCGCTCCGCCTCTTAACCACTAAGCTTTAGATGCGTTTTCTGAGCTTCCCCCGTCCTCTGAATCAGGAGCACTGCCTTCCCATTTACCATTGTCATTTCTCATGATGACAAAACATCCATAAAGTTTGCCATCTTCAGCATGTCATTCTATACACAAGCTACGGGAGTTTGAGAAGAAATTCTGAAGCCAGATGGTGCTTAGACAACAACTCACTGCCGTATTAAACTTGGTTAAAGTGGTAGATTTTGTGGACATTTTATCATCATAGAAACATAACTGAAAACACCTAGTCCAGTATTAGTATACAATATAATTCTCTATATCTTGATTATCACCAAAAGACAAAATTTGTAGAAAATGCCAGGTGTGGTAGCACACACTTGTAATCCCAGCCCTGGGAGGCAGATAGACACACATGACACTCCATGACAAGCATATGGAGGTCAGAGGACAACTTTGGGGAGCCAGTTCTTCCATTGTATGGGTCCCAGGCTTAAACTCAAGCCTAGGCTGGATTGAGTTTCTGGTCCTCCTTCCTCTCCTCCTAATTGCTGGGGTTCCTGATGTGCACCATGCCCAGCTAAATACATTTTCTTTTCTGTTGTTTTTGAGACAAGGTCTCACTAGGTATTCCTGATGAGCCTACAACTTCTACACAGACCACGCCGGCGTGGGATTCTGTCTCCCCGGTGCCAGGATTAAAGGTGTGCACCACCATGCCCAGCTAAACGCTATTTTCAGTGTTACTTTCCTCTCGGCATTTGAATCTCTCGAGTTAGTACCTCCTGTCGTCTGCCTCAGCTTCTGAGCTCGGATTACAAACCTGCACCACCATTCCCAGCTCATCAGAGCACTTGCATTAATTATGTCTCTTCCTGCCTTAGGTAGAAGAGTACCTCAGCAGAGGACCTGAGTTCAGTTCTCATTACAACCCCCTGTAACTCCAGCTCCGGGGAGTTCAGCACCCTCTTCTGGTCTTCCCAGGCTGTTGAGGAATATTTGTTTATGCAAAGATATGTTGCATTTGTTTAATTATATAAAGATGCGCTGCATTTGTTTCACCTTGCCTCCCTAAGGCACCTGATTGGTCTAATAAAAAGCTAATACTAGGCAGGACTGCAGGGTAGAGAGAGTAAGCAAGAGGAGGAATCTAGGCTTGACAGAGACAGGAAGAAAGGAAAGAGATGCCAGGGGCCAGCCAGCCAGACACATAGGAAGCAGGAAAGTGGGATACACAGCATGAAAGGTAGAAAGCCCATTGGCAACACAGATGAATAGAAACTCGTTAAGTTAAAAGAGCTAGTGGGACAAGCCTAAGCTAAGGCCGAGCATTCAAAATTAAGTGTGTCTATTTGGGAGCTGATTTGGGGCCCAAAGAAAATTCTGACATGGTAGGTGCCAGCATGCACATGTGTGTGCATACACACACACACACCTCTAAGTGTTGGAAAGAACTTATTCTATCTCCTTATGGTTTTATTAACTTCGAAGCTCATTTGTATATGTAATTGCTATTGTCGTCCTTTTAGAATTTCTGCCTCTACCTCCTGATTGTAGCAGCACAGTTTTGTGCCGCCATGCTTGGTGCTTCACAGGTGCTAATTTAAAACAAAGAAAATCATCATTGTGTGTTCGTGTGTGTGTGTGTACATGATGTGGGGGGCATATGTGTCAGGCATGGCCTGCTTATGGAGGTCAGAGAGCAGCTGTATGGAGTCAGTCAGCTTTCTCCTGAAGTGTCTGGGATAAACGTTAGCATGAAATACTTGTTTTCACCATAAACATCAGCGTGAACAGTTGCTTTCTAGAAATACTTAGACCTTGAAGAAGTCATAGCGGAAAACTGACTGTTTGCTGTTATCTACGGAGCTGTTTTTCTGAAGGAGCTGTCCAGCCTTTGCGTGACTTTGGTCACAAGATGGTGCTGGCACACCTGGGTATCCTGAATTACTGGGTGCTGTACACAGTAAGGGCTAAGGTTGCTGGGGTGTGATGCTTTCCCTCAGAAAGCATAAAGATTAGATTGGGGCTTTGGTATGAAGGATCTGTTTTACCCAAAAAAGCACCTGTAGTATAATACATACGCCTTTGCACGCTGCTCAGCGTTCAGTTTGTAGAAACGGCTCCTCCCTGCTGCCAGAGAGCTGAGAGTCATCCTAGAGTGACCCTGTCTCCAACCGACCCTCAAAATACACAACACCCCACACCCTCCACTTTTGGGGTCAGGGATGAAACTCAAGTTGTTAGGCTCGGTAGCAAGTCCTTTTAGGTGCTGAGCCATGAGTTTAGCCCTGACACTTGCTAAGTTTAAAATGAATAGCAGCTACATGAAAAGCTCCAGTTATCCCTCTTTCCTGTGCCGACTTGGACCATATCCCAAAGCAGCTAACACCCCCTTCTCCGTAGTTACCCTCGTCTTTCAGGTGCTGCCTGTTGGTCCACGCTGCTGCTCGTCGACACTTATCTGCGTGTGCCAGTCTCAGCGCCTGGTCATTTCTCCTCGTTAACTGCTGTTCAAAAGCAATTCTGAATGCATCTGCCATTATATGAGCCTCTTCCTTACTTTTCTGCAGAATTTCCAGCTGAAAGAGAGTTGGGGAGCCATGAGAGGTGAAACTGGAACCGTTTTTTCATATGAATCGCTGTGTTCCTAGCCTCTATTCCCTCTAGCTTGTCTGCGTAAGTCAGCGCTTGCCCATTCTACCGGCACTCTGGATGCTAGCACCCTGTGCCAACCCTCTGCTCTTGAAACTCACCACCCCTGCTGGGCCCTGTGCCTGTCCTGGAGGAAGGACATAGCCGAAAAGGAGGAAAGCGCCTAAGGCTGTGTACCTCCCTAGCTGAGCTTGAGTCTTATCCATGTGGTTCTATTCTGTTCTTCAGGAGTAGCTAATGTGTAGCTGTTAGCCTTCCTAAGTGATCTAAAGGCTTTAAATTCTCTGTCTTCAAAAAAGGTAAACCGGTGGCTGGGCATAGTGGCACACACCTTTAATGCCAGCAATGGAGAGGCAGAGACAGGCAGACCTCTGAGTTCAAGTCTGGCCTAGTCTATAGAGTTAGTTCCAGGACAGTCAGGGGTACACAGAGAAACCCTGTCTCAAAACAAACAGCCAAATCATAAATTTGGTTTGTACACATAAACATTCATAATTAAAGTCCAATTATAAGGGAAACTATCAGCTGGTTAAATGCCTGGCCTGTTGATGATAAAGACAGTTGTCATCCTGTTAACCTATGAGAGGACTGAGGCTTATTCTGCCCACAGCCTCACGCACGCAAACGATGGTGCTAAGAGCACTGCTGGTCAACTCTACTTATTTTAATGTAAACACACCGTTTCCCTCTATTAACTGCGATTTGAAGGCCATGTAGAAATGAGAAAATATGAATTTAAGAAATATTAATTACACACTTAGCCAAACGACTTTACCTGGCTTCAGATTTCACTCAATGCACTATGTGTGTTTTAGAACCAGGTAAACGAAGTCTAATGCACAAGTTAATTCTATTACATAAAACCAAGCGTAGTTTCCTCAGTCAGTGACTCCTAAGATAAAACTCATTATTGCAAATCCTGCCATTTATCCTCCCGCTAATAAAGGGCCTGAACCAAGACATCTGATAAATACCTCATGTCTGAGCTGAAGAACCAGTTTCCGAGTGGACGCTGCCATTTTGGCACAAGAACAGGGGTTCCCTCCAGGACCGCGACACAGGCAGGCTCCAAGAACTGCAAGCTTGAAACCCAAAGGCATTGCCTGTTACCACGTGTCACGCTGTCTGAGCCACAGAGACACACACACCCCACAGCCATGCGCATGCTAGTCAAGCCTCTGATTCAATAAAGTGGACAGTGTATATGTGTGTGTATAATATATATGATGTATATTATATATACATATATATATTTTTTTAAAGAAAACAGGAATTCATGATCTGAGTGGAAATGGCCACAAATGAAACATCATTTCTTGCAATAAACACTTCAAAGAGTTTACATTCCTTCCTTCTCAATCTCAAACCCTTTAATGCTGGCATTCATCTCCAATAGCTTTGGATGTGCAGCGAGAATTTAGCCTAACCAAGTCTTTAATACTAACACCCAAAGTGAGTGCTGCCTGTGGTAGGCGTGGCCTTGTCGCCTGCATTCCCTGTGTCCCTCTCCTCCAACAAGACTGTGCGCAGAATGAACAATGAATTTTATTTTACCCTGGGGAAAGCAATCACGGCTCCATTCTTTAAAAAAATTACTCTGTGGGGCTGGAGAGGTGGCTCACTGGGTAAGAGCACTGGCTGCTTTTCCAGAGCCCTGAGTTCAATTCCCAGCAACCACAGGCTTTCTCACAGCCATCTATAGTGGGATCTGATGCCCTCTTCTGGCATAAGGTTGTACATGCAGATAGAGCCCTCACACAAAGATCAATCAAAAAATAAATATATTTCTTGGTCAATGACTATAATGAAGTCACTTGTAGCCCTGGCCCCTCAAAACTTGACTAAAGCTTAAGTGAAGAAGCAGGGTCATTCGTGGAAGAAAAGAAAAAAGGAAAGCAAAGCAAGAACCTCCCTTCGGTTTTCCGCCCATGATAGCAGCTAGGCACACTAATTTAGCAGAGGCCGTCTGTAGTAGTGAACCATACGTTCTGAAGTTTCATAAGGAATTTACCATAAAACTACCTAACTCCAGTCTGCCTAGGTGTAAGTCACTAGCAATGTGACAGAGAAAATCACCCCACATTCCTGTCTCCTCTCGTGTGTGACGTGAAGCTTGAGTGAGAGCATGAGGGTTCAATGTGTCAGTCTTAGAGGACCCGACACCGGCGAAGGGCGCTACAGTGCTTGTTCATGCCTTGTCACCGTGAGAAAAATACCTGAACCCACCCAGCCTTAGTTCCCTTTGCAGCCCCTGGAAAGAGCCAGTCCCACCCAGCAGGGAGGTGTGGCTCAAGCAGTGCCCGCTGCAAAGGGCACGGTAGCAGCAGCTGGCAAGAAGCGACCTGGGCGGTCACGGGCCTCTCGCACCCGAGTCTGAGGCGCTAAGTATGTTGCTGTCCTGAGCAGGCTGCAGGGAATAGGAAAGCAGCCGTCCCTGCCGTACGGCTTTCCCGGGTGCACACGTACCTCGAGTCCGGATACCTCTGTAAAGGCACTGTCCTCCTGAGCCATGTTCTCCAGAGCCACCTTCTGCTGTTTGATATCAAGCATGGCAAGTGTCTCCAAATACCGCTGGTTCAAAACTAGGAAGGGCCACACATGACACTGTGAGTTCTCTGAGGCCAGCTACAGCCTCTCTATGGAGTCACACAGAAGCCACACACTCACTTCTAAGTGACACTTATCAGCCAGTACACAAGACTGGGCTTCATCCAGAAAACCTAGCTGATGAAACAGGAAGTAGCATGGGAGAAAAGAGATACCGAGTAGCTCCTTTTTGTTTTTTTTTTTTTTTTTTTCAAGACAAGTTTCTCTGTTTAACAGCTCTGGCTGTCCTGGAACTCACTCTATAGACCAGGCTGACCTCGAACTCAGAGATCCTCCTGCCTCTGCCTGAAATGCTAGATGGGATTAAAGGTGTGTTGCTGGCCAGGCGGTAGTGGCCTATGCCTTTAATTCCTGCACTCAGGAGGCAGAGGCAGGTGCATCTGGGGTTGGGGGGAGAAAAAAAAAAGAATCAAGGTGTGTGCCACCAAGTGGATTTTTTACTTTTTTTTTTAAGATTTATTTATTTATTATGTATACAGTATTCTGCCTGCACACCAGAAGAAGGCACCAGATCTCATTACAGACGGCTGTGAGCCACCATGTGGATGCTGGGAACTGAACTCAGGACCTCCAGAAGAGTGATCACTTAAGAAGAGCTCTTAACCTCCAAGTCATCTCTCCAGCCCCTTTGCTTTTTCTTTTTCTTTTTTTTTTTAAAGTGAACATGTAAGGTAGATTATCCAGCGACTTTGAGAATGTTGCAGGAATATTTCTGGAATAAGTACGTTGATACCAATGGGGCCGAAAGAGATAGGAAGTCAGGATACCCCCCAAAAGGTTTCCATGCCAGGTCTCGTTTGTATTCTCATTTGATACTCTAAAACCACGTGGGACAGACAGAAAAATAAGATTTTACAGAAGCCTACATGGCAGCAGGTTGGTCAGGGCAACCACCGATTGTTTCAGCTGTTCCTTCAGGTCATTCTGTTCCAGGGGCAAGGAAAGTTATGCTTGTCGAATAGGCAGTAAATGCGGTGCTGTGGCCGGGCGATGGTGGCACATGCCTTTAATCCCAGCACTCGGGAGGCAGAGGCAGGCGGATCTCTGTGAGTTCGAGACCAGCCTGGTCTACAGAGCTAGTTCCAGGACAGGCTCCAAAGCCACAGAGAAACCCTGTCTCGAAAAAACAAAAAAAACAAACAAAACAAACAAACAAAAAAAGCGGTGCTGTGGCTAAATGGATAAATCGCTATGTGATAATGGGCCTTTTCCACCTTATTCTACTTCAGACAAGGAAAAGACTGCCGAGTGAGATCTCATGTACTATATTCATGTCAAATGTGCCAGTTACCCAAATCCCAGCAGATTTTTTTCTATTAAGCATTTTCCAGCCAGGTGTAGTGGCGCACGCCTTTGATCCCGGCACTTGGACTCGGGAGGCAGAGACAGGCAGATCTCTGAGTTTGAGGCCAGTGTGGTCTACAGAGTGAGTTCCAGGACGGTCAGGGCTACACAGAGAACCCTGTCTGGAACAAAGAACAACAGCAGGGAGTTTCCACAGAGGGCTGGGTGCAACGGTGATTTCTAGGCCAGTCTGATCACTGGGGCTGCCTAGTAAGACCCTGTCTCAAGAAACAAAACGGTTTTCATAGGAGAGGCCCTCACCATGGTCAGAAAGAAAGGGAAGGGATCCTGTTTAGTGGAGAACAGAAAACAGTAACTTTCCTCTCGAGGAAGAGTGAGCAAGGGGAGGGGAGGGGGCTTGTGATTCTGGAACTTTCTGCCCTAGACTACCAGAGGTACAGCTGGATGCTCAGACACACGTGTGTCCAGATCTCATCTGGGAGCCTCTGAGCCATGCTGATTCAGGGTTTGTTCCTTTCAAACGGTCACTTAGTTTCTGCTGAGGGGAGGAATTAGCATCTTTTTTTAAAAAATCTGTTACAAAAATCAGTACAAGCAGGGCTCTTCCAATGTTGACCATAAGGTGGCTCATTGTATACGGGCTGTGCAATATACAGACTTTACACCTGAGGGTACACACAGGGCCGGGCGGTGGAGCCCAGACTGTGTCTACCTCATGGCAATTCTCCTGCCTCAGCCTCCCAAACTGGACCGAAGGGATGGTGGAGAGGAACTGTGCACAGCCTTTACTTTGGAATATTTCAGAAAACTGTAGAATGATCGAGGGCACTGACTGCGCACACAGTTTGCCAGCACTACTGAATTAATCACTTTTACTTTAGAGTTTTCAAGAACTATAGTTCAGACATGGACACAATGTACTTTGATATATTCACCTCCCACTCCCTCCACCAACACCTCCCAATTGCTTCTTTTTGTTTGTTTTCTTGAGACAGAATCTCCCGTGTAGCCTATGGCTGTTGTTAAACTGTGTAGACCAGGCTGGCCTCAAACTCACAGAGATCTGCCTGCCCCTGCTTCCTGAGTGCTGGGATTAAAGGGTGAGTACCACCACGGCTTGCCCAATTGTTTATTTTAAACAATTAAAGGATTAATCTGATGTTGTATGGATTTCACCTTGATAGTCTTATTTAAGAAATCTTTTAAAAAATCTAAACGATACATTTTTATTTTCCCTAAATTATATTACTTCAAAATACTAGCACTCTGTCTATATTGACAAGAGTGTTCTTGCTGCAGTATATTCTATATTTGCTATCTTTAAACATATTTATTATTATTATTATTATTATTTTAGTTATAAACTGATTGGCCCATTAGCTCAGGCTTCTTATTATTTTTTTTAATTAATTTATTTATTAAAGATTTTTGCCTCCTCCCCGCCACCACCTCCCATTTCCCTCCCCCTCCCCCGATCAAGTCCCCCTCCCTCATCAGTTCGAAGAGCAATCAGGGTTCCCTGACCTGTGGGAAGTCCAAGGACCATCCACCTCCATTCAAGTCTAGTAAGGTGAGCATCCAAACTGTCTAGGCTCCCACAAAGCCAGTACGTGCAGTAGGATCAAAAACCCAGTGCCATTGTTCTTGAGTTCTCAGTAGTCCTCATTGTCCACTATGTTCAGCGAGTCCGGTTTTATCCCATGCTTTTTCAGACCCAGGCCAGCTGGCCTTGGTGAGTTCCCGATAGAACATCCCCATTGTCTCAGTGTGTGGGTGAGTTCCTTGTCCTGAGTTCCTTGCTCGTGCTCTCTCTCCTTCTGCTCCTGATTTGGACCTTATTATTATTTTTTTAGAGGCAAGGTTTCTGTGTAACCCTGGCTGTACACTCGGTAGATCAGGCTGGCCTTGAACTCAGAGATCCACCTGTCTCTGCCTCCTGCAAGTGCTGGGAATAAAGATATTCGCCACCACCCCAGGCTAACATATTTTAAGAGAATCATTAAAATCCATTACTCACCAGCATTTTCAGACTTGAGCGCTTTAATTTCTTCTGTCTTCACCTTCAGATTCTCTCTGAGGACAGTATTGTCACAGCTTAGTCTGCAAAGGGAAATCTAACTGAATAATTAAAGTATTAACACCTCGATGAGCAAAAATATCTTTGTTTCTACAATTTATTACATTTTATTTATTTTATTTGTGGGACATTTTAACAGCGCACATATTGGGGTCAAAGGACAGCCTGTGGGAGTGGGTTCTCCCCTTCTGCTATGTGGGTGGTGGGATCGAACTCAGGTCTTTGGGATTGGTGGCAAATGTTTTTTATCTACTCAGCCATCTCGCCAACCTTCAATTATTATTATTATTTGGTTTTTTGAGACAGGGTTTCTCTGTGTATCTCTGGTTATCCTGGAACTAGCTCTTGTAGACCAGGCTAGCCTCGAACACACAGAGAACCTCCTGCCTCTGCCTCCCTGAGTGCTGGGATTAAAGGTGTGCCACCATCACCTGGTGTCACATTGATATAATTTTAATTTAACTTAATAACCATTTGGACACTGATGCTGTCCTCAAGTAAACCTTGGATACTGGTCAGTTCTGAGTAGGTATGGGGATCATAACCACTGGGCTAAGTTAAATGAGGGGACTGACGACAGGAAGCTGTGCATGGGGGGAGGGTATGAGGGATCTGAACTCAGGTCCTCACACTTGTGAGGAAAACACGTTACCCACTGAGCCATCTCCCCAGGCTGCTTTCTTTGCTGTTGTTGCTCTACAAATGCTAACTAGGCCCTCTACCACTGAGCAGCATCCTCGGTATGTGCCCTGCCACAATGCCTGGCTCTACTATATATGCAGTACTAGGAAAACAACAGAAAAATATGGGAATGGAAAGTAGATCAGCAATAAGAATTTTATTTATAATTTGCTCAAAGAAGAAGAAAGCCTAAAATGGCATTTGAATGACATGCATTTTAAAATTTTCCTTGGGAAAATTACGGATGATACCTACCTATATGGACTATATACTATACCTACCCAGGCTGAGGATGGGCTCGGCTGTGCCCAAGGACGATGGCCCTCAGTTGTGATGGAACTGCACAGCATGCACAGGCCCTAGGTTTAGTTTTCGATGCCATCAATATACAAACCTGTCATACTTTTGGATCCACGATTCCTCTATATTTTTAAATCTATCCTGATCAAATTCCATTTCCCACTGCAAGGCATTTATTTCCTATAGAAAGAGAAATAATACCTTCAGATAAAAAAACAAATAAAAGAACATTTCGTGGAAAATTATCAGTATAAATCTTTCTGAGACACTGAATGGGTGAAAGGCATTAATTTATGCGCTTGGAGGAGTCTATGGCATTTGAAAAATACATCAGGCTGGGCAGTGGGGGTACATGCCTTAATCCAATCCCAGCACTTGGGAGGCAGAGGCAGCCAGATCTCTGTAAATTCAAGGCCAGCCTAGTCTACAGAGTGAGTTCCAAGACAGCCAGGGCTGTTAGACAGAGAAACTCTGCCATTAAAAAAAAAACGGGGCTGGAGATACGGCTCAGAGGTTAAGAGCATTGCCTGCTCTTCCAAAGGTGCTGAGTTCAATTCCCAGCAACCACATGGTGGCTCAAAACCATCTGTAATGGGGTCTGGTGCCCTCTTCTGGCCTGCAGGCATACACTCAGACAGATTATTGTATACATAATAAATAAATAATTTTAAAAAAAACAAAAAACACACAACAAATGGACTTTTTTTTTAAGCTCTCAGACACACTTTGATAAAGCTCACCGAACACAGCAAAGAAATTTCAAATTATTTATGTTCAAAATTTGGTTATAAGGGCTGGAGAGATGGCTCAGAGGTTAAGAGCATTGTCTGCTCTTCCAGAGGTCCTGAGTTCAATTCCCAGCAACCACATGGTGGCTCACAACCATCTGTAATGAGATCTGGTGCCCTCTTCTGGCCTTCAAGCATACATACAGAAAGAATATTGCATACATAACAAAATTTGGTTATAGTGAGCCCAGATTTCTCAGGGTCCACTTCTGCCCATGTAGACACCAGAAACTACTTCTTGGAGTCTTTACCCAAATGGCCCCATCAGGGGAGAATACGATTTATGTAAGAAAATGACATCTGTGATTATCCTAATTCCATGTCTAGTGAGGTGTTCGGAAACACGCTGACCCTGCCTGGGGCAGAGGACAAAAAAGGAAAAAGATAAAAAGTGCTAAATTGTCAGACCTGCTGCCATATATTATATATTTATATAAGACCTGCTGCCATAAAAGGTCGCACTTTACTCACGTGACAATCTGTTTTAAAATTTGAGTCCAAAGCCAGGCGATGGTGGCACATGCCTTTAATCCCAGCACTCAGGAGGCAGAGACAGGCGGATCTCTGTGAGTTCGAGACCAGCCTGGTCTACAAGAGCTAGTTCCAGGACAGGCTCCAAAGCCACAGAGAAACCCTGTCTCGAAAAACCAAAAAAAAAAAAAAAAAAATTATGAGTCCAGGGGCTGGAGAGATGGCTCAGTGGTTAAGAGCACTGGCTGCTCTTCCAGAAGACCCTGGTTCAATTCCCAGCACCCACATGGCCACTCACAACTGTCTATAACTCCAGTTCCAAGGGAGCCAATACTCTCATACAGGTAAACCACTGTACATGAAATAAAAATAAATCATTAAAAAAATGTCAGTGTCGGGCTGGAGAGATGGCTCAGTGGTTAAGAGCATTGCCTGCTCTTCCAAAGGTCCTGAGTTCAATTCCCAGCAACCACATGGTGGCTCACAACCATCTGTAATGAGGTCTGGCGCCCTCCTCTGGCCTTCAGGCATAGACACAGACAGAATATTGTATACATAAAAAATAAATAAATAAATAAATATATTTAAAAAAAAATGTCAGTGTCCAAAGGGAAAACCGTCAGAGATTGCAGAACTCCTTGCAGGAGAGTAAGCACAAATGAAACACCTGTTACCACACCGAGCCTAAGAAAATTCTATCTAGGGGTTGGAGAGATGGCTCAGAGGTTAAGAGCATTGCCTGCTCTTCCAAAGGTCCTGAGTTCAATTCCCAGCAACCACATGGGGGCTCACAACCATCTGTAATGGGGTCTGGTGCCCTCTTCTGGCCTTCAGGCATACACACAGACAGAATATTGTATACATAATAAATAAATAAATATTTTAAAAAAAAAGAAAATTCTATCTAAATATTATCAGATTGAGCGCATCAATGCTATATTTGCAAATACCTTCTCCAGAGATCGCTTTTGTTCTATGGTTTTTTGAAGCACTGTCTGTGTGTGACTTGTGGCCTTGTCAAGCACTGCCTAAGAAAAAATAAAAATAGCGTCAGTAAAATTAAGCTTTAAACCCTCTTATTTGCATAATATATGAGCATATTCCTATATGCATATTTTATTTTTAAAGATTTATTTATTTTCAACACACATACTTTATTTTCAATGTCTGTGTGTCTGCATATAAATGTGTGCATGTGCGTGCTGGTGCCTAAGGCGCCTTTTTGGAAGGGGGTGTCGGATCCCCTGGAGCTGGAGTTACAGGCAGTTATGAGCTACCTGACTGAAAAGAAAGTATTGTTGGGCGGTGGTGGCACACACCTTTAACCCCAGAACTGGAAGGCAGAGGCAGGCGGATCTCTGAGTTTGAGGCCAGCCTGCTCTACAGAGAGAGGTCTAGGACAGCCAATGCTACACAGAGAAACCCTGTCTCAATAAACTAAAAAGGAGGAGGAGCAAGAAGGAGAAGAAAGTATTTGTTATGATTTCAGCCACAATAAGGCTGGCACTTCCGGGTTCTGGGGCCATGCATGTGCAGCAAGCCCTCAGGCAGAAGAGCCTAATGACCCCTGGGATGTTAAAGGGCCCCGTGATCCACATGCGGTGTGGCTGAATCATCCACTATGACTCAGCTAAGCCCTTGGATGCATGCATGATACCCGTCATCTGCATATGACGTCAACCCCCTGTGCACATGCGCTAGGCAGCTTTTAAAAGCTGGAAGCGCTGTCTCAATCTCTCTCTCCTCTCTCTCTCTCTCTCTCTCTCTCTCTCTTTCTCTCTTTCTCCCTCTCTCCCTCCCTCCCCCCCCCCTCTGTCTCCACCGACCTCTAACATGAACATGATTGGACCTCAAAAGCCCGCTAACCAAACAATTACAGACACAAATTGCTTGGTTATGTTTGTTTGAAAGAGAAAAGGTGAAAAGACGAATCTGTTAAAAAGTGTATAGGTGATTCTTTTTAATTTTTTTTTTTTTGAGATTTATTTTATATACAGTGTTCTGTCGGCATGTACACCTGCGTGCCAGAAGAGGTCACCAGATTTCATTACAGATGTTTGTGAGCTGGGAATTAAACCCAGATCCTCTGGGAGAGCAGCCAATGCCCTTAGCCTCTGAGTGATCTCTCCAGCCCCTACAAGATTTATTTCTTTTTTTAAAAAAGAATATTGCAAATGTTTGCTCTAAAATTAAGTTCTAGTGATACCTATACAACTCAGTAGTTAATAAATAACTGCACCTCAAAAACCCAACAATATTAAACACCGATTATTTTATTTTACAAGGTAAAAACATCACTAATTACTGTCGTTGTTTCTGCTGCTGTTGCTGGTGGTGATGGTGCTAGTGGTGGTGGTGTGTGTGTGTGTGTGTTTCCAAAACAGGGTCTCAGGATGTAACCAGACCTGATCTAGAACTCTCAATCCTCCTACCACTGCCTCCTGAGTGCAGGGATTATAATTCCACTCGTTACTGAAATGTGTTAAGTGATGAAAATGTCAGAAATAAATTCTTACCATGCTTTGAAGGATTTTCAATGCTTCCTCTTTACCTTCAAGTTGTCTTTGAGAGGCTTCAAGTTCAGTTTTTAAAATCTCTACTTCCTGAGGACAGAAATACAGTAAGCCTTCCCGTTTACAAGGCATGGAATTCCTGAACTGTCAACATGGCTAGTCCAAATTTACCCTTAAACAGGGCTGTGAGTTCCTAGAGACGCTGCAGGGAGCCTGTCAGAATATGCCCAAGAGCCTCACTACCAAGCTCCAGTCTGACGGGACAGCAGCCCACTCCAGCATGTGGTTCTGGTAGGCCTTGCCCTTGTCCCCAGTCCTCTGCCTTGCTAAAACCCATTAGATTACAGTCCTAAAGCTAGCCACCAAGGTCCATCCCCTTGTTTGGTCACTTCATCCCCGTGACACTGACTACCATTGAAGTCCAGCAACTGGAAGCCTTTGGCTCACCTAATTAACGTGCCCAATTAAAATGAAATACCTCCTCTTAACATGGGGTTTCCCCCTTTACCCTTATAAACTGCTATTTCCTATGGGCCACATTGTTGTGATTGGAGCAGTGGGGCTCTCTATCCAGGGACAGTCCTTTGTCCCTCCAGGACAAATACCCCTGCCCCTTTTCCCTTGTCCCCTTCTCCCTCATCCCCATCTCCTTTATTACTGCATCCTACCCTATTCTAACACAGACCTCCCTGTCTCCTCTTAAAAATTACACCTGCGAGGTCATTTTCTGATGTTTTTCTGCCTGTCAGAAAGCAACCAATTAACCTTTTCTTCCCTGCTTAATAAAGGATCTCTCATAAGGAAAAGAAAAATCTCGGTGCTGTTCTGTCTGACAAAGGTCTCAAAGGATTCTCGGCTGGGCATAGCAGCACATGCCCTTAATCCCAGCACTTGGGAGGCAGAGATATGGCATCTCAAGGAAGCAATGGCAATTGCAGTTTAGATAGGTTCAGAGAAGCCAGGTAGAGAAAGGACTGAAATGCTTGGAGGGCGCGGGTGTGCTTATACAAGAGGACTTTAAAAGGCAAGAGCCAGGGCCAGCAAGATGACTTAGCAGGTTAAGGAGCTTGCCACCAAGTCTGACCACCGGAGTTCAATCCCTGGAACCCACAAGATGGAAGGAGAGAACCAACTCCAGCAAGCTGTTCTCTGATGTCTACATGTGTGCTGTGCACAGGTGCCCACACAAACATAAACAAAGAAAGAAGAGGGAGGGAGGGAGGGACAGTCAGAGAGAGAGAGAGACAGAGACGGAGAGAATAAGAAAGGGAGCCTGTTGAAAACTAGGTGCCCAAGAGATGAAGGGAAGAAGGCAGAGGTCTGGAGGAATGGATGGGGGTGCAAGGCCCACTTCGTTGCAGGACATACCTCTAAAGTTTCATGAAGACGCTGCCTTAATTGTTCATTTGACAATTCTGAGTTAGAATCTATTGGAGGAAAAATTGAATAGTTTCTTTAGTTAAATACATGGCATTTAGCTGGCCATGGTGGCAGACTCCTTAAATCCCAGCGCTCGGGAGGCAGAGATAGGTGGATCTCTGTAAGCCTCAGGCCAGCCTGGTTTACATAGTGAATTCCAGAACAACCAGGGCTATGTAGAGAAACCCTGTCTCAAATGCCCTGTCCCCACCCCTCTGCAAAATACAGAGAATCTGATTATAAATATCAAATATGTATTTTCTTTTTTTTTTTTTTTTTTTTTGGTTTTTTTGAGACAGGGTTTCTCTGTGGCTTTGGAGCCTGTCCTGGCACTAGCTCTTGTAGACCAGGCTGGTCTCGAACTCACAGAGATCCGCCTGCCTCTGCCTCCCGAGTGCTGGGATTAAAGGCGTGCGCCACCACCGCCCGGCTTCAAATATGTATTTTCTTTAAATTGCAAAATGAGCCGGGCGATGGTGGCGCACGCCTTTAATCCCAGCACTCGGGAGGCAGAGACAGGCGGATCTTTGTGAGTTCGAGACCAGCCTGGTCTACAGAGCTAGTTCCAGGACAGACTCCAAAGCCACAGAGAAACCCTGTCTCGAAAAACCAAAAAAAAAAAAAATTGCAAAATGAAAAAATTATAATATGATAACTAATGATAAAATACGTAAAGTTAAAAGATAAGTGGCTTTGAAAAAAACAGCATTAAAGGGGGTTGTGATATGAAGCATGTGTTGATGAACTGGCTGCCACACAAATGTGTAGAAACACATGAATGTTCTAGTCGAATAAATGGATTTTAATGTTTGTCTTAAGTAGCAATAACAATGCCTAGGAACCAAACTTTCTTTCCAAGAACAATAACTAACTGAAGTTCTTCTGTAACTTTTTGTTGGTGGTTTTTGTTTTGTTTTTTTTTTTTTTTCGAGACAGGCTTTCTCTGTTTTTTTTTCTCTGAATAGCTCTGTTTTTTCTCTGGAGTCCATCCTGGAACTTGCTCTGCAAAGCAGGTTGGTCTTGAACTTACAGAAATCTTCCTGCCTCTGCCTCCCGAGTGCTGGGATTAAAGACGTGCACCACCACTGCCTGATGGTCTTCTGTAGCTTTAGTTGCATATTTTGTTGGTTATTATTTGTAGTGGAATATTAAAAGGGCCATTGCATGGCATTTACTCTGGAGTGATGGCCACATAGGTCTTTAAATAATCCCTGGTAAATAATCAGAGATTGTTATCTGAAATTTATGGGGTTACTCTTTCTTGGGAATTTCTGAACCTTAGCATAACCTCAGTCATAAGACACTTCTGGGCCTTTCTGTTGTTGTTGCTGCTGTTTTGGTTTTTTTTTGTTTTGTTTTGTTTTGTTTTTCGAGACAGGGTTTCTCTGTATAACAACCATAGCTGTTCTGGAACTAGCTCTGTAGACCAGGGTGGCCTTGAACTCACAGAGATCCGCCTGCCTCTGCCTCCCAAGAGCTGTGGTTAAAGGTGCTGCACCACCGCCCTGCCAAACCTGGAATTCTTATGACTGTGCTTGCTTAGGTCATGGTTCCTTAAGACAACTTCTAGTTCGGATAAGAGATTTTGGTACGCAGGGACTGACTTGCGTACCAAAGGCCTTTTGGGTGTCAATAAAAGAGCTTCTAGGCAGTCAGTTCATGAAGACTGATTTTCCTGTGCTAAAGCTGACCACTTCCTGCAGTCTCAGTCTCTCTCTCTCTCTCTCTCTCTCTCTCTCTCTCTCTCCCTCCCTCCCTCCCTCTCTCTCTCTCTCTCTCTCTCTCCTCGTGGAGACTGATTTTGTAAGCATTGCACCTCAGATGGAAAGGGATCTGGCAGTGGGGAGTCGAGGAATACCACAGAAGCGGAACAGCTTACAGCCCTGCTCTATGGAAAGGTTTCTCCAATGCAGCAGCTCTGCTCTGGGAGGAGAGAGCTTCCCCAGCAAAGTTGTTACAGTTCGGCTCTGCTCCCCCGGAGTAGAGCAACTTGGCCCTTTGGGCTAGAGAGATGGCTCAGCAGTTAAGAACGCTGGCTGTACTTCCAGCGGTCCTGAGTTTAATTCCCATCAAACACATGATAACTCACAACTATCTATAGTGAGGTCTGGCGCCCTCTTCTGGCCTGCAGACATACATGCAGACCAGAATACTGTTATACATAATGGGCCCAGGGCAACCGAGCTACACACAATGGGGCCCGAGCACTGTGGGGCCCTGGGTAGCCTGGCCACACGTGAGGCCCGGGATGCACAGCCTGCCACCACAGGCAGCACAGGGTTCCAGGAAAAGCTGTAAATTGACACCACCCAGGGAGGGCCAAGACTAAAAGGAAGTACCTGACATTCTAACCATTAGATAAGATTAGATAAAACCAAGGGAAGTCCCTGAGCCCAGGACTCACCTATTCACCTTTAACAAAGATCCCGGGACAAACAGCAGCGAGTCAAAGTCTTGAATCCTGTAAATCCCCTCACCCCAACCTCTACTACATAAAAACCCTACCCCGATTGGCCTTGGGATTCTCTGCTCTCAACCGCTACAAATCGGACAGACGGAGAGCCCAAGCCTCTGTGGTGGCTTTTGGGGGACCCTACGACCTGGGCGTAACACATAATAAATGAATAAATCTTTAAAAAAAACAACTCCAGCCGGGCGGTGGTGGCGCACGCCTGTAATCCCAGCACTCGGGAGGCAGAGGCAGGCGGATCTTTGTGAGTTCGAGACCAGCCTGGTCTACTGAGCTAGTTCCAGGACAGGCTCCAAAACCACAGAGAAACCTTGTCTCGAAAAAAACCAAAAAAAAACCCAAAAAAAACAAAAAAACAAAAAAAACCAACTCCATTCTACTAGGTTTCCCCAGTGGAGTTGTTACAGCCCTCCCTGCTCCGCTCCTGCTCCACCAGAAAGTTGTTACTTTTCTCCTCCGCTCCATTCCGGCAAAGGAACCCAAACCTCATTTAAGAGATTTATCGGGAGGGAAGAATCCAGGAGAGCAGCTGCCTCTGCCAGGGTGGAAGAAGGGCAGCAGCAAATGAACAGGTGCTTCTTAGGGATGGCGTTTTCCAGGGAGATTTTCTGGGTGGGAACTGGTCAGGTTTCTCGCTCAGGGATTGCTTGGCTTTCTGCTTAGCCAGTGAGGAGGCAGATTTGGCTCTGGTTTCGGAGCCAAAGTATGTTTCTTTCACTGGCACTTTTTAGCCTTTTGGCTCTAATTTCAGGGCCAGGGCATATTTCTTTCACTGACTGTGATTCCAGGGCCAGAGTGTGTTTCTCTGGTTGGTCCTTTTCCCTCCTGATTTCCCTGCTGCTTTTGCTAAAGCTTATGGGGCCCTGCAGAGTCTCCCTCTTCCGCAGACCCGAGTAACTCAGAACACAAAGTATTCCCAGAACCTAGACCCGGGTATTGGGCACCTAGGGAACTCTGGGGTGGGGGCATAAGACTGCATAACAAAAGGAAAAGGCATTAAGTAGCCACCAGAGTCACACAGGGATGATATCAAAGCAGATTAGCTACTGTTGGACCAGCAAAGCATAGCTCCCCTCCACTGGGGTTCCCAGGAGGCAGGAAGCAACTCCCTCCAGGCAACCCAGCAGCAATAAATTGTTACTTGAGGGCCAAGGAGAAAACACGTGTGTGCCCCGAGGCCCACTTCTATGGCGTCTGCATGTGCATTTGGCAATGTTACAGGTGATTCTGGTTATAACAGTTCTGCTCGTGTACTCGTTCTTCATGTTCTTTTTTTTCTTCCACACCAGTGGCTTCTGAAAATATGGATGCACTGTACGTTAATACGAATCTCACTGATCGGATAGAGCGGGCAGGCACTGATGAAAGACCCGGATAAATCCAGACCCCTCTAGCAGAAAGAATAGGACAAAAAAAAAAAAAAAATCTAGCAGGAAAAATAGAGCCAAAAATCTAGCAGGGAGAGAAGAACCAAAAATCTAAGTTAGCCGGTTCAGTGACTCTGTTCCAGGAACTAGCTGACCATAAAGTTAGATTATAATCTTGAAAAATGGGGAGTTACCCCCTTGTAATGATCACTAGTATTTTCAGAATTTTCCAATGACGCCCTCCCTACCCCCTTTGAGTTGTGGTTTCTTCCCCTAAATACCCCTCTCCCAGTTACTCGGGGTCAAACTCCTCTACCCCTGCACGGGAAATTAGTTTCGGCCCCAGCTGGTTCCTGTCCTGTCAATAAACCTCATGTGATTGTAGCAAGGACGGTCCCATGTGAGTTCCTGGGGGTCGTGTTCCTGGGAGACTTGAGAGTCTCCCCTCTTTCACGAAAAGAATTGGGGAGGGGCTGGAGAGATGGCTCAGTGGTTAAGAGCACCGCCTGCTCTTCCAAAGGTCCTGAGTTCAATTCCCAGCAACCACATGGTGGCTCACAACCATCTGTAATGAGATCTGGTGCCCTCTTCTGGCCTGCAGACAGAGTACTGAGAATACTGTATACATAATAAATAAATAAATCTAAAAAAAAAAAAGAATTGGGGAAAATGAAGAAATTGTTCTTGCCTGATTATGACACTTGGTAAAAGAATTATACTGAAACAGAAAGGTACTGGCTATGATGAATAAAGTTTCTGAAGAACCTATGACTGCCTTTGGCCTTATAAATCAAAATTGGAATTGTGAGAAACAACAATGGGAAAGGTATGACAATGGAGTGAAACCCGCTGAACTACGCTTCTGTAAACTGCAGGTGGTTAGCCTCTGAGGTGAAAGCCTCAGAAGTTGTTTAATAATTAACCCAGCTAAGAATTAAGAATATAGTGGCTGGCATGGGGCTTGAAAACTGGGAAAATGTCATAATGGATGATGATGTTCTGATTTCAAAGAATTTTTGTACTTTCTGTGAACTGCTTTGTTCCTGAAATGATTAACCTGGGACAAGAAAAAAAAAATCAAGTTCCTTGTGTAAAATTCACAATGAAAGACTGAGGTTTGAAGCTTGGAGCAGAGAGAGACAGAAAGGGAAAGAAATAGAGAGAGTGAGAGAGAATTAGAAGACCCCTCCCTGCAGCTGAGAGCCTGCCAGCTTGCATTAGAATCCTGTGTTCGTGTACTCACTTAGCTTTCCAGACATCCCAGATTCGAGACCCACTTCTCTGCTGAGGCTGGTCCCCAGCATCCTACCATACTCAGAAACAAAACATCAGCTACCTCTGAACTCCCCACATTCCTTTAAGAGACTAAGAAGTGGACCAGTGAGGTGACTCAGCAAGAAAAGGCACCTGCTACCAGGAGTGATGACGCGGGGTGGGAACCTGGGACCCATATGGTGCAAGGAAAGGACTGGCTTCAGGTTGGGGCATTCCTTGACACGTGCTCGCCCCACCTCCTTAAACAAGTAAATTTAATCTAAATAGTCTTAAAGAGATAGAGATGAAAATCTCCTGCGGTTATTGATTTTCTCGTGCCAGGAGAGTGAGAGCATTGATAATCTCCACAAGGGAAGGAAGAAGAGAAAGCCGCGGAGGAGGAGTTCTCACCAGCGCTGCTCTGCCGCCTGTAGCCGGACGCTCTGCGTCCGTGAGCGCGTGTATCCCGCAAACCCTCAGTCCCGGAATACTGAAAACTGGTTTCGCTTCTTTCTTCCCCCTTTCTTGGAAACGGAGGGGGGCTTAGGTTCCTTCCATCTGACCTTTTCTTAGATGCAATCGAACACGAAACTTCATAAATCCCGCTGGGTCTTCCTCCGAGGCCATACCCTAGGTCACCTTCCGTCATGTCATCTTCCTCTGTTTCCCAGATGTCCTCAGTCTCACTCGGCGACCTCGTCACTTTGCTCATCAGCCAAATGCGGCTTTTATCGTAAGGGAAGACAGGCTGCCTGTAGTGAGGGGAAGCAGTAATTAAAAACCAGTCAGCGGATGCCATGATTCCTCTTCTGCTTTTCCCCCCACAAAGACATGAAAGGTTTTATGTCAAAAAGATGCCTTTACATCCATGCTCATTGCCACCAACTTACAGCTGCCAAGCTATGAATAAAGAAAATGTGTGTGCATTCACGGAGAGGAGTATTATTCAATGGTAAAAGCCTGGGGGGAGGAGGGGTGGGAGGGGGGAGCTGGAGAGATGGCTCGGTAGTTAAGAGCACTGGCTGCTCTTACAGAGATCTTCCTGCCTGCGCCTCCTGAACTCTGAGGTGAAAGGCGTGGGCTATGATGCCCAGCGTCTCCTCCTGTTATCATCTCCCTCCCTCCCTTCTTTCCCTAGCACATAGAACTGTGTAACATATCCCCCATATTTTGCTTATTTCTCAAATTATACCACAAACCCGTCTGATAAGGTGGGGGATTGAGTGGAGCAGGAGGCGAATCACTGTGTATACGTGCTAGGTTAGCTCAGCCGCCTATACATTCTCCTCAGCCGCGGCCCAAACTTGCTCCAGACACCCTCAAGCAGAAGGGACACGCCAACAGGTCCCAAAGCCCTGTCTGCTTCACCCCAGTACTCTAGAGCCGAATTCAGTTTTTGAAACACAAATGCGGCTCAATAAAGACTTGTTTACTAAACAAAAAGGAGAGAACGAGCGAATATAAAACTTGCCTCTTCTAGGACAAGGATGTACAACAGTCCTGTTGTCAAGACTACAAGGCTACACACTGGGCGCCACGAGACTTGCCCCCCCCCCTTTAAATTTTTTTGAGACAGGGCTTTTCTGTGTAGCTTTGGAGCCTGTCCTGTGACTCGTTCTGTGGACCATGCTGGTCTTGAACTCACAGAGATCCGCCTGCCTGTGCTTCCCGAGTCCTGGGATTAAAGGTGTGTGCCACCACCGCCCGGCAAGACTTGCTTTCTTTTCCAGAAGAAAATGTCTTCTAGAAACAGCATTTTAGAGGACGCACCACCGAGGAGCCCCCTCCTCCCCAGCCCCTGGGGTCACTTACTCCGTCACGCTCAGGGAGCAAGTGCTGCAGACACTCAGCCTCCTTCCTTCAGGACGGGGTGCGGTGAACTCCGGCTTTCAACACCGGGCATTTCAACACGGCGGTTCTGCTGCAACTGTGTAGAAATGTTTCACTTTAAAAACAACTATGAGTTAAAGAGTCCAGTGTCAGGTTTCAATTCAATGAGAAGAAAATATAATGATGATGATGATGATGATAGTAATAGCAAAAAAATAATCCCAGTAATAAGCCTCAGATGAGACTGGGAATACAAATATCCCGCTGCTTAAGAAGATGCTTACTGGGACTTTCAAAGACAGACCAGTCCTGACTTTTTGCTGAGATGGCTTTTTTGGTGGGGAAAGACCGGGTTTCTCTATGTAGGTTTGGAGCCTGTCCTGGAACTCGCTCTGTAGACCAGGCCGGCCTTAAACTCAGAGATTCGCCTGCGTCTGCTTCTTGAGTGCTGGGATGAAAGGCTTGTGCCACCACCATCTGGTGAGACTGCTATTTTATTTTTCACTCTTTTTTTTTTTTTTGGTTTTTTCGAGACAGGGTTTCTCTGTGGCTTTTTGGAGCCTGTCCTGGAACTAGCTCTGTAGACCAGGCTGGTCTCGAACTCCCAGAGATCCGCCTGCCTCTGCCTCCCGAGTGCTGGGATTAAAGGCGTGCGCCACCATTGCCCAGCCTTATTTTTCACTCTTAAACCCATATGCTAAACCGGGTGGTGGTGGCAGCTCAGGCCTTTAATCCCAGCACTCTGGAGGCAGAGGCAGACGGATCTCTGTGAGTTCGAGACCAGCCTGGTCTAAAAGAGCTAGTTCCAGGACAGGGTCCAAAACCACAGAAAAACCCTGTCTCAAAAAACCAAACCAAACAAAACAAAACAAAACTAATGTACAGCGACAGTTAGCAGGGCTGGGGATGTAGCTCAATGGTCAAGTACTTGCCTAGCACGCACAAAGCCCTGAGTTCAACACTCAACATGCAAATAGAATATGTACTGGTAACCTGATTGGTGGCCAAAGTAACTGGTTTATTCTGAATTTTCCAAATTATAAGCTAATAGATTAATAACTGCCTGGAATGGGAAGGTTGATATCAAAGATCACTAGGAAATTTGGGGGTAATTATGGAATAGTTCTATTTTTTTTCTTTTCTTTTTCTTTTTTTTTTTATCTCTGTTACATAACTCTGGCGGTAGTGGCCCAGGCTGGCCTTGAACTCACAGAGATCCACCTGCCTCTCCTTCCCAAGCTAAAGGCGTGCACTACTATGCCCATCCTGAATAGTCCCATATTTTAACCAGAGTGGTAGTTTGTCAAAACTCAACAAATAATGCACTTATTTTTTGCACTTTAAAAATTTTTTTTATTTTAAACACGTTGGTGTTTTGCCTACATATATATGTACATATACAGATATATATCTCTACGTGAGTGTTGGATACCCTGGAACTGGACAGCCGTGAGCTGCCATATTGGTGCTGGGAATTAAACACGGTTCTCTAGAAGTGCCCTCCCTGAGCCATCTCCCCAGTTCTCAAATTGTATACTTATACTGGCATGTTTTATTATATGTACATTTTATTTCAGTAATAGTCTAACATTTTAAAACATAAAACATACAAGAAAAATTGGACTGAGATACATGGAATTAGTCGGGCTCTCCCAGAAAAAAAAAATTCTGGACCCATTATACAGCCCAGAATGGTCTTGAACTCTAGATCCTTCTGCCCCAGCCTACCAAATGCTGGGATTACTAATCTATGTCACCAGGTCTGAAAGAAGTTTGTTTTTTTTTTTTTTTTAAGATTTATTTATTATGTACACAGTGTTCAGCCTCCATGCCTGAAGGCCAGAAGAGGGCGCCAGATCTCATTACAGATGGTTGAGAGCCACCATGTGGTTGCTGGGAATTGAACTCAGGACCTCCGGAAGAGCAGTCAGTGCTCTTAACCATTGAGCCATCTCTCCAGCCCCCTGAAAGAAGTTTTTAAAAACAGGATGTCACCAGGCGATGGTGGTGCAGGATTTGATCCGAGCGGTCGGGAAGGAAACGCAGGTGGATCTCTGTGGGTTCGAGACCAGTCTGGTCTACAAAGAGAGTTCCAGGACGGGAAGGCCAGGGCTGCTACACAGAGAAACCCTGTCTTGAAAAAAACAAACCAAAAAAGAAAAGAGAAAGAAAGAAAGGAAGGAAGGAAGAAAAACAGGGAAGAAAAAAAAACACAAACAAAATAACCAAAATGTCACGGTGCTCAACTGGGAAGGCTGGCTTTCTGCAGCCGAAGTGCTTTCATTAGAGAACTTCGTTCTCACAAAAGACTTCCTTCTAGAAGGACAGGGCTTTTATGGTGAGCAGCACTCAAGAGGTAGCGATGGTCTTTGGAGCCTCCAGCCTGGCGACAAGTCTTCCTCTGTTGTGGATCATGGGATACACAAGAACTTGCAGGCCGGGCGGTGGTGGCGCACGCCTTTAATCCCAGCACTCGGGAGGCAGAGGCAGGCGGATCTCTGGGAGTTCGAGGCCAGCCTGGTCTACAAGAGCTAGTTCTAGGATAGGCACCAAAAACTACAGAGAAACCCTGTCTCGAAAACCCAAAAAAAAAAAAAAAAGAACTTGCAGAACCAGAATAAAAACCCAGAGCAGTGAAGCAGAGAACCACCGAAAGCAGCTTATTAGCTTCATTCTTATTCAGTTTTTACAGTCACCGCCCCTTTATAAAAAGGCATGGTTATTTTCTTTAAAAAGATATCTGGGGATGGGGTCTGCTGCTTGGGCGGCAGACTGCGGGCATAGCGTGTAGCAGACCCTGGGCTGGATTCCCAGCATTCAATGGTTCTGGTGTGGCGGTACGTGACACTCAAGAGGTAGAAGCAGGAGGATTAGAAGTTTACGGTCAACAGGCGGTGGTGGCGCACGCCTTTAATCCCAGCACTTGGAACGCAGAGGCAGGCGGATCTCTGCGAGTTCGAGGCCAGCCTGGTCTACAAGAGCTAGTTCCAGGACAGGTAGGGCTGTTACACAGAGAAACCCTGTCTCGAAAAATAAAAATAAAATAAAAAAAAAAATACAACAACAGAATTTGCAGTCAGGGCTGGGGAGGTGGCTCAGGGCTTTAGAGCACTGACTGCTCTTCCAGAGGACTTGGCTTCAATTTCTAGCATCATGACAGCTAGCAACTGTCTGTAACTACGAGATCTGATACCGTTACACCGGCATGCCTATAGGCAAAACACTAATGCAAATAAAATAAAAATAAATTATTTTTTTAAAAAGTTTAAGGTCATCCTCTGACACCTATAAGTGTGTTTTTGTCTTGTTTTTAATCTATTTTAACTTACTTGTCAAGGTAGATGGGAAATTATTTATTGAACCAAAGAATAATGTCTTGGGAGACTACATTTACCCCTACTATAGAGTCCTGCTTGATAAATGCAATTTTGGGTCTTCACTAAGAATGAGGCTCACTGATAGAAAGTTTGCCTAGCAACAAAGAAGACAGAACTGGTCAACACAAGGGGAAAGGAAGTCTCTGAGAGTAAACCATGGATAACCACAGAGCGAGACAAGGTGTTTTGTTTTGTTTTCTGAGATAAGATCCTGTTAATACAGTCTAGGCTGATTTCAAATTTGTTGTGTGGCACAGACTGGCTTCAAACTTGCAATCATTCTGAATCTACTTCCTGAGTACTGCATCAACACACCAAGTGTGCGCAACACACCAAGTGTGCATTAGCACATCCACTGTGCATCAACATATCAAGTGAGTGTGCATCAGCACATCCCCTGTGAACAACACAAGTGTGCATCAACAGATCAGGTGTGCATCAACACACCAAGTGTGCATCAACACAAGTGTGCATCAGCACATCCAGTGTGCACAACACATCAGGTGTGCATCAACACATCCCGTTTAAGGATTTACTGTGATTTTTGTTTTCTGAGACGTGTTCTAGATTTCTGCACAGCCCAGGCTGACCTTGAACTTGGGGTCTTAGCCTGTCTCTTGAAGGCTGGAATTGCAATCATTCCTGGCCATATCGGGCAAGATTCTTTTCTTTTCAAGGCAGTCTCTTCCTATGTAGCTCTGGCTGGCCTGGGTACTTGTTATGTAGCTCAGGTGGCCTTAAACTTTTGATAACACTCCTAGGATTGTAGGAGAGTACCACCATGCCCAGCTCACCAGCTCGAGAACATCTGTTAATGTACCCCATGTATTCAAACGGAGTGAATTGTCTTGCTGAATATAGTTTTCCTATCTATGCTATTGCTTTGGTGGGGTTTTGTTTTGTTTTGACGAGGGGAATTGAACCCAAAGCCTGGTGCATAAAGGGTAAAGGCTTTGCCACTACATTATATCCCTCTCTAATGCCCTTGCCCCAAGACAGGGTTTCTCTGTTTAGCCCCTGGTCATTCTGGAACTCGCTCTGTAGACCAGGCTGTCTTGAACTCAGAGATGTGTCTGCTCTGCCTCTACCTTCTGAATTTTGAGACTAAAGGTGTGTGCCAACACCTCCTGGCTCTAATGTTTTTTCTTTCTTTTTCTTTTACATTTATTTATTTATTTATTATGTATACAATGTTCTGTCTGCATGCATGCCTGCAGGCCAGAAGAGGGTGCCAGATCTCATTACAGATGGTTGTGAGTCACTATGTGGTTGGTTGCTGGGAATTGAACTCAGGACCTTTGGAAGAGCAGGCAATGCTCTTAACCACTGAGCCATCTCTCCAGTCCTCTAATTTTTTTTAATATTTATTTATTTATTTGTTATGTATACAATATTCTGTCTGTGTGTATGTCTGCAGGCCAGAAGAGGGCACCAGACCTCATTACAGATGGTTGTGAGCCACCATATGGTTGCCGGGAATTGAATGAACTTAGGACCTTTGGAAGAGCAAGCAATGCTCTTAACCACTGAGCCATCTCTCCAGCCCCTGTTTTTTTGTTTTTTGTTTTCTAAATGTAACTTTGATGGGCATTGGCTGTGTAGTATTCAAATGTGATAGGAAAAATCAAGCTTTACTTTGGGGACACATTACTTCATAGGATTATGTTGTGGGATAATCTTTTTGCACATTGTGAAGATGTGCCTTTGCCAAAGCCTTCTGGTTAGTTTAATAAAGAGTTGAATGGTCAATAGCTAGGCAGGAAGAGGTAGGCGAGATTTCTGAACAGAGAAAAAAGAAGAGGAGATGAATCTAGGCACAGGAGAGATGCTAGAAGACAGAGAGGAAATAGGGGGTGCAAGATGAAAGAGATGTAAAAAGCGACAAGGCAAAATGTAGACTAATATGAACAGATTAATTTAAATTATAAGACCTAGTGGGATAAGCCTAAACTATAGGCCAAGCTTTCATAATTAATAATAAGTATCTGTGTTGTTTTCTGTGAGCTGGTGGATCAAAGAAAAATCCGTCTACAGAATTATAAGCCTTCTAGTGAGTTTAATATGTTTGATATCAACTGGGGCGACAGCAGGATGTGGAATAGGGAAAGTGCTGCCTTGGGAGTCTGAGCTCAAATTCTTAGCTGCTGATCTCGGATTCTGACTGAGTCATTGGCTTCAAAATGAGTTTAAGTAGAATGACTGGACAGGGGCATTTGGAGCACCATTGGGCATATATCTGAGATCAGCTACACTAGTCAAATAAATAATATGAATTCTATTAATTGAGCATCAAGCCAGCTTGGTGGTGTCTGACCTAGTATTCAAGAGACTGAGGAAGAAAGATTGCTTAAATGCCCCCAAAGGAAGGATTTGTGCACCAGTATACCTACCTATTGAGTGAGATTACATATAAGTTTTTGTTTTTGCTTTTTCAAGACAGGGTTTCTCTGTGTAGCCTTGGTTCTCCTGGAACTCACTCTGTAGACCAGGCTGGCCTTGAACTCACAGAGATTGACCTGCCTCTGCCTTCCAAGCACTGGCTTGGAATTTTTTTCTTTGGAGTATTATACTTCTATTTCTGTACCAGCATTTTGCAAAGGGTACTTCTCCACCCTACTCGTATTTCTAGAAATAAAAGGGTTCATTTGTTTTCACTGAGAACTATTTTCCTATTGCAAGCATACATGACTTGACCAAATAACACAGGTAGGCAGTGGGTATAGCCAGAACCAGAAATCATATCTGGCTCCCTGTCCAGTCCTCTGGATACTTGAGAAAGGACACATAAACAAACTGCTGGCAATCTTTCTGTTTTTCACTAAAATAACTCTGAAAAAGAGCGAACTGCTAGCACTAACTCCAAGACCTAGCTAGCTTCACCCCTGAGCCTCTCTCTCCAAGTCTGTAGGAGATATGAATCTTTAACTTCACATCAGGTCTCTGGGATACCTGGATTTCTCAACCAAGCAAGAATGCAGCTCAGGAGCTAGAGCTGGCTCAGAGGTTAAGAGCACAGACTGCTCTTCCAGAGGTCCTGAGTTCAATTCCCAGCAACCACATGGTGGCTCACAGTCATCAATAATGAGATTTGGTGCCCTCTCCTGGTGTGTGGGGATATATGGAAGGAATGTGAATGTTGTATACATAATGTGCGTGTGTATGTATGTATATATATATATATATATTATACATATATAATACAATAATATATTGTATACATAATAAATAAAAAAGCAGCTCTCTTTTGTCAAGAGGGTCACACAGCTGCCTTCCGTGGCTTTTTTTTAATATTTATTTATTTATTATGTATACAATATTCTGTCTGTGTGTATGCCTGCAGGCCAGAAGAGGGCACCAGACCCATCTACAGATGGTTGTGAGCCACCATGTGGTTGCTGGGAATTGAACTCAGGACCTTTGGAAGAGCAGGCAATGCTCTTAACCTCTGAGCCATCTCTCCAGCCCATTCCGTGGCTTTTTTATTCCTCTGGTTCCTTCTGTATAGTCTGCCCTTGCTTTTACTGCTCTTAGACACATTATTTCCAGCTCAGTACTTGGCTTGTTCAAATACAGCTCAAAGCAAGTTCCTTCTCTTCCCACTCCCCGAATCCATGTCTCTCTTCTGGAGTTCTCTTTGTTCTAAAATGTGTCAACCATGTTCTAAAACCCTTAAGTGAAAAACTCTGGAATACATTTTTCCCTCTTTTTTTCTTTGATCTTCGAATACATTCAATTGTTAAGGCATCAAGACTCACAAAAATCTTCCCAAATCCTATCTTTTCCACTTCAATTTCCTGGTTGAATTTCTGATTCCTTTTGGCTACAAAGCCACCCTACACATACATCGCTGCCGAGTATGTGATCCAATGATGTCCCTTTCTGACCCTAAGACGGTAGTGGCTTTCACTAGTTTAAGGAACGGAACGTGTCTCATTTGCTCACACCTAACAAATGCTAAAAGATATTTGTTGAAGAGAATTGAGAGAGGACAAATTCCAAGGGGGAAAACAGGCCAGCAGGATCTACCCCCACTCGCCCGACAACTGCTTCAGCAAACAAGTTGATCAAACAGACACTACCTACTACTTCCTGTCTTGCTGGGGAGAAAACTAACTTAGCCCTCATCAGCGAGCCTTGGCCGCTTCACCTTGCTGTGGGGCTTTATATGCTAACTTTTAACCTTAGAATGATTTTAGATTTCTAATAAGTTGCAAAGACTTGGACCTATACATTCTCCACTCAAATTCCTCCAAGTTTAGCATTCGGTACATTTATCAAAAATTGAGAGCAAGCCACCGGTGCAGTTACCAACTAAACCACAGACTTCCGTGGATCTTCTGTTTTTCTCGAGGATTTTTGTTCGTTCCTTTCGGTTTCAGGATCGAAACCAGGATATTGCATAGCATTCGGTGCGTTGCAGCTCTGTGGCTCAAAATTGATAAATAATAGCAGGAAGAAGCAGGGAACGGGGTTTTTGAGATCGGTATTCCCCATTGTCAGACGAGGCCGTTAATGGCTGGCTGTACCGGAAAACGAGCCAGTTTGCTAATCTGACCACCAATTGCAGTTTCCACTACAGAGCAGCCGGGCTCCCGACCCTCCCCACCGCAGGTTCCCAGGGCGCTGGCCTGACGAGGGCCTTCTGCGCACCGGTCCCAAGGATCGAACCTTCAGCCCCTTCAGTGCTCACCCCGCACCGCCGCGCGTCCTCAGGCCCCGTGACTGCACGACCACCGCCAGGAACCGGGAAGGGTGGCCAGGTCCAGGTGGGCCAGCGGCGCGCCACTCCTCCTGAGCCCCGTGTCCGTGTCTCCGTGCAACCGGATGTTAGCTGCCCTCCTCCAACTTCAGCTCCAAAGCCGGATGGACAAATAAAAGCCTGAGATTTAGAACCGCCTAGGACACCGTGAGCGTTAATACACGCAAACTTAACTGGTCCCAACTTTGAGACTTTAGGAACCCCATAAGAGAAAAATGCGCCCCAGGTGAGGTTCCCGGGGAAAGGCAGATCTGGGAAGGCAGGCTTTCAGCAGTTAGAAACCCAGAAGGCAGCTTGGGCCATTGGGAGTGCGGGAGCAAAGGCGCGGCAGGAGGGAATGCTTGCAGAACGCTGGTGGCAAGATTGCTTTGTTCATTTTCTATCTCAGACGCTTTCATCCGACGTGCTGGACCAGCTTCATTACCTTGTTAAAATGATCGTGTGCTAATTCTCCGCGCCCACACCTATTACAACAGAGGGCTTGGCGGTTGCAAAAAACACTTTCCTAGGCTTAAATAATACTCTGGTTTAAAAACAGAGATCAGATCCTTTTCTTGCAGTAATAATCCTCTCATTTCTTCTCCAGAGCCCGTCTGTATTGTCCCGACTTGGTTTCTGTACTTGGTTCCATTACCTGGATTGAAACTAGTGAATTACTTCTAGGGGTGGCTGTGTAAATTCAGAGTTCTCTTTTTATAAGACTGCCTGGCGTGGTAATAATATATGTTATCTTTCAGGTGTCTGTGATAGTAAGAATCTGTAAACATATGTCCAACCAGAGAAATGATTAACTCAAATTAAGAGATTAGGTTAAGTCCTGAAATTTAGGGGGGGAGGGGAGACACCTGGTGTCAACCTAGACTCCATAAACACACATGCACCTGCATTCATGTATTCTGCAAATACATATATGCATATGTATCACACACACACACACACACACACACACACACTTTTAACAAAGGTGACCTGTACACTTTATCTTTTGTAGGGTACTGGTGATTGTATGTAGTATCTTGTGGTGGTTGGGATGAGAACCCCCATAAGCTCATATATTTTTGAGTGCTTGGTTCCTAGCTGCTGTAAGGGTTAAGAGGCGTGGCCTTTCTGGAGGTGTGTCACGGGGTAAAGGGTGGGCTTTAAGGTTTCAAAAGCACTTAACCAGGCCCAGTCTCTCTGCCTCCTGCTTGTGGATCAGATGTGAGCTCTCAGCTACTGCTCCAGTGCCATGCCTGCCTGTCTGCCAACATGCTCCCTGCCTGGGCAGACTCACCCTCTGAAACTGTAAGCAAACTTCCCAGTCAATGCTTTCTTTTATAAGTTGCCTTGGTTATGGTGTCTCTTCACAGCAATGGAGGTGACCACGATATGCTTCATACATCTAATCATGCATGCCATCGCTGAGCCACACCCCCACAACAACTGTACATCAAATTTTAAAACCGGAATTTTAAGATAAAAAGTATCTAAAAAATAATTGAGAGCTATTTTTCCCCCCTGAGACAGGGTTTCTCTGTAATTTTTGGAGCCTGTCCTGAAACTAGCTCCTGTAGACCACACTGGCCTCTAACTCAGAGATCTGCCTGTCTCTGCCTCCCGAGTGCTGGGATTAGAGGCATACGTCATCGCCATCCAGTGAGAGCTATTTTCTTTTTGTTATATTTTGCTTTTCAAGACAGGGTTTCTCTGTGTAGTCCTGGCTATTCTGGAACTAGCTCTGTAGACCAGGCTGGTCTCAAACTCAGAGATTTGCCTGCCTCTGCTTCCCGACAGCTGAGATTAAAGGTGTACTGCCTTGCGAGTCTGTATTTTCTAAGATAATATAATCCTCACATAAATAAAATACAGAATAACGTGCATGATGTTATTTTGTGTGTGTGTGCACGGCCAGAGAACCACCTTGGACATTTCTTAAACACCGTAGCCTGTAACCCATGAAGTAGGCTAGGTTGCCAAAGAGCATGTTTGTATGTGTGGGCGCCCTTGGGCACACACACGTGGAAGCCAAAGTTGTCTTCCTTGATCATTATGCTATTGAAGCAGTCTCTTGCTGAGCCCAGAGCGAGTCATTCCAGCCGGTCTAGTTGCCCGCTTGCCCCAAGGGGTGTCTCTGCCGCCAGTGCTGGTTACAGGCACAGTGCTTGGCCTGCGCTTGCGCAGTGAACACTTCATCCACTGAGCCATCTCCCCAGCCCTCCAGGTATTAAACCCACTTTTATTTTGTGTATGCACGTGTGTATGTGGAATGTCGGTTCTCTCCTGCTGAACTCATGTCCTCAGCCTTGGTGTCGAGTGCTTCATTTACTCAACCATCTCATCAGTCCCCTCTGATCTTTAAAATAAAAAAGCAATACTCTGATGGTGAATCTTTAGTTTTCCATTTTTATTTTGAGAGATCACCTACATTTTAGTAAATTTAAGATATGTACCCATTGACCAGATTTATTATCCATTGAGTTTGATTTTTTTAGGTTTAATCCTTAATAAAATAATTTACATTAGTATCTGAGATTCTTTAAGCTTTCTCATGGAGAAAAAGAAATCCAGGCAGCAGCTAGAGCTGCAACATAGTTTTCTTCTGCTGATCCTTGGGCATTCTGTTATGTGACTGAGTGATATCAACAAGGGTAGCTATACAGTGGCCAGGCTGGTTCCCCCACACCCCCTTTGAGACAGAGTCTTAACTACATAGCCCTGCTTGGCCTAGAACTCACTAAGTGGAACAGCTTCTGCCTCCCAGGATCTGGGATCAACGGTGTGCACCACCGCGCCTGGCTAACCTCCTCTAGGTCAAGAGTTATGATCTTTGACCCACTGCTCAATCCACTTTGAGATCTGGTTGATGTTATCCTCTAGCTGCTCTGGTTCATTACTGGGCAGCTGGTGCACAATTTCTTCTCTGTAAGATGCTCTGGCTTCTTCATAAAGAATTTGGAAAATCTCACACTGAATGTTGTCTTGTAGTTTCTTCGCATTATAACCCCTAGAAGGCAGAGAGGTAAAGCAAACAGAATGGTATTAAATATGGCTTTGGGAACAAGTTAGAAATTGGACACTGTGAATATATCAGCAATTACCTAAGATACTTCTCATAATCTGCACAAGACTTCTTTGACATGAGAGCTAAAGTAAGAATTATGACACTAACATTTGAGTTTATCTGAATCCCTTGCTAGTTTATTAGCTGCTCATATAATTAGTCAATAAACAAGTACCCACCTCAAGTCAGATTCTCAGATAGGAGTAAAGGATCCATAGCAAGAATTTATGAAAGACAGACAGTATACACAAAGGAGAACATGGAATATCATACACCGATTAGATAATTCATCATAAAAATGTTATCTGTATTTTACTAATCCCAAAGACAATAAAAGAATTTATATAATATTTAGGCAGCATATAAAATAATCAACTAAACAGCCAGTTAAAAAGCTGAGGGGCCAGAGAACCCTTAGACATGGCATCCACGCCCTCGACTGCTAAAAAGCCACCGAGGTCATTTGGAGCCTTTGATAGCAATAGAGAGAAACAATGATGGCAGTTGAAGAACCAGCCCAACTCCATTTTGTTCCTAGAAGCCACTTTGTACTTGTAGTTAAGTTTCTGTTTTTCAGACCAGGGCTGCGCCCCACTCCCAATCATAAAATATTCTGTATAGGGCTGGAGAGATGGCTCAGTGGTTAAGAGCATTGCCTGCTCTTCCAAAGGTCCAGAGTTCAATTCCCAGCAACCATGTGGTGGCTCACAACCATCTGTAATGAGGTCTGGTGCCCTCTTCTGGCCTGCAGACATGCACACAGACAGAATATTGTATACATAATAAATAAATAAGTATTTAAAAAAATATTCTGTGTAACAAATGCTCCAGGACAATTTCCTTAGCTGCTTTGTAAAATCCTACCTGCCTGGTCTCATTTCTGTAACCACACTTGCTTGGAAAAAAAAGGAAATCCCCCACCTTGCAGTTTTGCCCTAAAAACGGGGAGGGTATGGGAAATTGGCTTGAGGCTGGTCTCATGAATCCTGCCTTGATGTGAACACGAATAAAGCTTGCTTTAGTTTGGCCATAATTTGGGTCAGTGGTCTTTATCATCGAGTCTACAGCAATAATAGTGTCTCCTTAACATCTAAACTTCAGGAATCAGTGACCTTTGACAATATGGCCATGTACTCTCCAAACTTGCTCTTCCAGAAGCCCTGAGTTCAAGTCCCAGCAACCACATGGTGACTCTCAACCATCTATAATGAGATCTGGTGCCCTCTTCTGGCCCACAGGCATATACGCAGGCAGAACACTGTATGCTTAGATAAATAAATCTTTTAAAAAAGGTTTATAGTGGCTTTTCACTATTTAAAGAAAAAGATGGAAATTTACATCTTGCTTACCCTAGTTTGTCATATATTTACTCCTTGTCCTCTGTACAAGGATTTTACACACATCCATTGGCCAATCAGAGCTGGCCATTCTGACCCTAGATTTGACAAAATTCTGGAGCTTTTCTTTCTGATACTGTCTGCTAACTCCCTCTAGACTCTCCACCTGCCTATCTATAGTCTGGATCAAAAGATATCAGAAAAAGTTTTCTTCCAAGTTCCCTTTTCTGGTTAAATCTAATGTTCTATGTGGGTAGGTCCAATACACACACACACATACATATATACATACATACACACACACAAATATATACATTATGTATACAGTGTTCTGCATTTATCCATGCAGGCCAGAAGAGGGCACCAGATCTCATTACAGATGGTTGTGAGCCATCATGTGGTTGCTGGGAATTAACTCAGGACCTCTGGAAGAGCACCCAGTGCTCTTAACCTCTCCAGTCCCCAAAATATATTTTAATGATTGTAAAATGCTGTTATCTTGTTAATCTTCATAAACTTCCCCCTTGATGTATGGATAATTTAAATGAGTAGTGTTCAAACTAAAAATATTATTGTTTGACTCTTTTTGTAGGAAAGGCCTTGTATCAAGGATAAAGCATGATTATTTGGGGGTTTCTTTCTTTTAGCTCTTGTAGACCAGGCTGACCTTGAACTCACAGAAATTCGCCTGCCTCTGCCTCCCAAATGCTGGGATTAAATGGGATTAAAGCTGTGTGCTACTACCGCCTGGCTATTTGGGGGTTTCTATCTCTTATATTTTGCTAAATCAAATTTTCAGTTGAAGCTGGGCAGTGGTGGTACACGCCTTTAACTCTAACACTTGGGAGGCAGTAAGCAGGCAGACCTCTGAGTTCAAGGCCAATCTGGT